CATGATCGTTTTCACTAATGATACAGATTATCGAAAAGAATTAGGTAAAAACCGATGGTTGATATTTTCGATGATATGCAATATATACATTGGGGTATGCATACTATAAAAAATCTGTATTCCACCTTTTTCTCTGCATATTAACACATGAGATAATTTGTTACATAAAAAAAAAAAATACTTGAAATATATTGACCATTTACGCACTAAAAAAGATATGTTGACAGTCATATGATTATCATTTGCATTGCTTTGGGCAGTGCATTACTGAGTAAGTAGTTTTCTAAAGTAAATTAATTGGGTCAAGATAAGAACTCCAAAAAATAGATGCCGATTGATTTTTTATCACTAAATCACATTTACATTTTGTGGATATATACTGTATATTAGCTAACACTTTTTTTTGAGTGAGAATTTTTCAACTAAGAAATTGTAATTGAGGAATTAGATTGTCGATCCAATATATTTAGAGATTTAATGAATATATATCAGTAAACTTTTTGTTTTAATAAATAAAAGATTGTGTTCGATAGCACAAAATTTTAATAAATCTTTATTCAGCAAGCTTGAAACACTTTGTACATTCTCACGGAAAACAAAATCCGATTCAGCCATAGTTATATTTTTTGGATAAGAAAAAGTAAAATATAATTCACAAATAAAACCAATATAAATACGATTCAAGATGTTCTTTCAATCGTGCAAAATAAAAATATCTCACCCATATTCGTATATTAATCTCTCTACCAAGTTTTCACCCCGGAACTTTCACTAATATTCTACTCACACCTTTGCCAAAACCCAGAACCAATATAAAAATCTTTTCTATCGCAAACACTACCACCCTTGTCATCTTTCCGTTCCACAGGAAGTTCTGGTATTATTACATAGACGATCCAACGTGACAATTCCAAGTCTCAAAAACGCCTTCATGTAAGTGAACTTTCCGGACTTTCTAGTCATAATTATTATATTTCACACATGTAATACATGTAATAAACTTTAATTTTATATCTTTTACATCAAAAAAGCGAACCACCGAAAAAAAAGGCTTAATTCGAGACCTAAGGTAATGTTTCATACACTAATTTCATGCCCTAATTTCAAAATCAAGATTTCCATATCCTAATAATTCCTTCAATTTTCGTTTACCAAAATGGACGCGATTTTGGGTTTGGAATT